AGCAATATATGAAAGGCACCAAGTTTTATTGCACCAAAAGGTGCAGCACAAGTGATAACCCAACTCAACCTTTAGAACCTCTTAAAGACTCAACATCATCACATAAAAAATTATTTGTACTACTTATATCATAGGTTATTATTGGTTGTTTTTTTTAATTTTTATCATTGAATGCATATTTTAATTAAGTATTCTTTTAACTACCCATCAGTTTGCATACTTCATTCTCCCCAAATATGAGGGTAGAATGAAATAGTTTTTTTTTTTCCAATTAAAAAAAGTTTATAAAAAAAAAAGTTTTAAAGAAATTATTTGATTTTTATATATTTAAATACACCTCAATATTCGCTACAACTTCAAAAAAAAAAGAACTAAAAATCTTTTTCCGTAAAAAAAAAATGATTTAAAACTCTTTACTACTTCATTTGAACCGCTTTTACTCAGGGACTATCCATAAAGAACGTCATCATTTTTTAGACAACTTTAGACTGCTTCTTCCCCCTTTGTCACCGTTTGTCCTTTTTTTCCTTTACCCCTTAAAAAAGATGTCATAAATTTAGGACTTTCCCCCCCTTCCCTCTTTTTATTTTTTAAAATAAAATTCGTTCTTAATTTAAGCATTTTTGTTGAAATTTTTCACATAAATTACATTTTTCTTTGTTTACATATCATTCAGTAGGTTATTGGGTATTTCCACGTTTGTTTCATTTTTTTGTTTTTGTAGGCCTCCCTGACAAAAAAAAAAGTTATATTACTCATATTCTATATATTAAATTTAATCAAAGTGTGTCATAGGAACTTGTCTCACTTTTTGTCCATTCAAGTTGAATGATGACGCGCAATAGCTCAGATTGTTCTACTTCAATAGTAGGGCAACCAATTCCGTTACGTACGTTACGTATAATTAAATGTAATATATTCAATATATATATAATATATATATATATATATATATATATATATATATATATATGAAAATAAATTTTAAACACGCAGGTAAAAAAGTTTTATAGAAATTCTATAAACTTTTGAAACATATGACTTATGAATAAAAATTCTATAGAATTCTATAGAACTTCTATAGAAACTCAGTTAATTTCTATAGGAATCTCTATAGAAACTTTTTTCTATTTTTTTTTTTTTTTTTTTTTTTTTTTTTTTTTTTTTTCTATAGAAAAAAAAGGTTTTATAGCGATTTCTATAGAAATTATTAGACATTTTATAGAAATTCTATAGAATTTGATAGAATTTTTATAGGTCATATGTTTCAAAAGTTTAAAGAATTTCTATAGAACTGTTATTCCTGGATAAATATTAACACGAATTTTTTTCTTTAATTACGATAATTAAAAATATTTTGTTCCCTTACGTTGACATCATAGAAACACATTTTTACATGTGTTTTTATGAAGTCATAATCATAGGCTTTCTTTTGGTTTTGTTTTCAAATCTTAAAAAAAAAACGTGACAAGCATAATTAATGAGAAATTGAAAATAGAACAGAAAAAACTCAAAAAAAAAGATTTTTTTTAGATAAAAAATATAAAAGTTTAGAACAAAAAAGTTTGAGAAAAAAAAGTTGATTTGAAAACGAAGCTAAGAAAAGAAAATTGTAATGAAAAAAAAAAGGAGAAAAAATAATCTTACGATTTCTTTTCCGCACAAAGTTGGATGTCATATTTTTCATCTATTATTAATGAATCTACTTCATTGTTGCAACACATCCCATCGTTTTCGTTCAACAAAAAAACTTCTTCCAAAAGCGTGAATTATTTTATTTCCGTGGTGTTAATTACTTTTTTGGGGGTTTCACACTCCGATTGACCAAGTCTTTTTCTTGTTGGTTAATTTGGATTTTAATTTTTGTGTTTTTATAGGGTGTTCTTTTTGATGTGCAATTTTTCAGTTTCTAGTAATAATGATAAAATTTCTAGTAAAGATATCCTCCAAAGAAAGCCTATGACTTTATAAAAACTTTAACTTTTTAAAGCTATTGGAAATAAAGGTGGAAAGGCAAAAACATTTTTCTATGTTGTTAAAACTAAAATAAAAAAATTTTATAACATGACGTCCTTTTCTGATGATTTTCCCCTCCCCCTTGTCTTTTTTTGTCCTTTTTATCTTGACCCCTCGCCCCCTTCCACCTATAAACATGACATACTTTATGGATGGCCCCCTACTATTAGAGGAGAGTAGGGCAAGGCCGAACGCGGAATAACTCCAAACGGCATAATAAAAATTGATATTTTTATACTTCTTTTTAGCTGCCGAGTGGGGAACTCGAGTAGGGGAGTGCCCGTGCTCAGTTCTAGACGTGCAGTAGTGTAATAAAACTATAATTGTTGTTCACGCTAAATTGATTGAAATCTTTTCTGATAATTTCATGCAATTTTTTGTGGAAAAACATTTATGTTGAAAGGCTGTTGTTGTATAAAGTTGAGATGAAAAGTTCTTGATCTCCCCATAGAAGATTAGATTGTGTGTTAAAATTGTAAGGCCTGGCTAAACTAAGCATATCCCAAGATTTTATCTGTGATTTTTGCACTTAATTATTACAATTAGAATTTTTTTACGTTTTACACAACATTTTTTGTGATTACTGTGTGCTTGGAATTACATGATAATTTAAAGATAAGTTAACTAAAAAAAAAATTAAAATGCTTAATTAAAAACCGGTTTTAATAAAACTTGAATCAAAAACAAATAATAAATCAACTTTGCAAAATTATTATTTGTTTCCGATTCAAGTTTTATAAACTTTTTTATTTGAAAAACCAAAATTCATATGTTTTCAAATATTCAACTAAGAATAATCATAAACTTTATTTTTTGTGGTTTTTAAATAACAATAGCTGTTAAGCTTAATAAATTTTAATTTGATTCTTGTTTTTCTGTAAATTTTGAAGTTTTAATTGGTTCGATTCTTGCTTTTTAGCTGCAATTTGAAAACACTGCATTTGTATTAAATTTGGCACAACTAAAACAATAACAAAACTACAATGACAAAACTACAATAACCACAACACAACTTTTTAGTATAAGACAATTACATGTAAAATTATGATTGATGGGAATTAAAAATGATACAAATATTCCAAATTGGCGTTTGCGTATTCTGTAACATTTATAAAAAAGTTCAAGTAAATCGTCAAGTAATAACTCAGATGCTAAATAAACAAATGCTCTAACTAACATATACATATTTTAGGTTGTAGTTGGGTGAACGGAGTGTAGGGGTCCCTCCCACATTATTATATTCAGGGGCGGATGTAGCATTTTTTGATGTTTGAGATACCTAACTTCCAGACATGGAGCAAACTCCAAAAATTTATATGTTTATACTTATATCAAATAAGGATGCTTTACAAAAAATTGCAATGATTGGAGCCTGGGAACAAAAAAGCCCTAAAATTTTAGCTACACCTAACGTGAGAGCAACAAGTTGATAAAATAATTTTTATACTATTCTTAACAAAATCTATATTCATTGACGAATTTTAAAATTCACACAAAAATCTATTAGCGTTCAAAAACTATGACAATAAAAAGTTTTAACCCTCCTCAATTTGAGGGGGTTGCAAATTTTATAAGGCCATAACTGTTGAACGCTAATAGATTATTGTGTGAGTTTTAAAATTTATCGATGAAGATATACTTGGTTAAAAATAGTAAAAAAAATATTCTCTCAACTTGTTGCTCCACGTTTGGGGCAGGTGTAGCTAAAGTTTAAGGGCTTTTTTGTTCCCAGGCTCCAATCATTGCAATTTTTTGCAAAGCATCCTTATTTGACATAGGTATAAACATATAAATGTTTGGAGTTAGCTCCATGTTCGGAAGTTAGTTATCTCAACGACCAAAAAATGCTGGATCCACCCCTGATATTAGTTAGGCACTGCTAATAACTACTTATAATGCATATATTTGCGTTGAACTACAGGATAAAGTTATTGCATAAAAAGTTCACACTTCTGCATTTTTTGACTATTTGAAATTAAAATTACTGTTTCAAATAAACTAATTATTCTTTGTATTAATTCAAAAATTGCGGTAAATATAAAAATATACATTAAAAAAACTCCTTGGCCTTTTAAGGAATAAACATTGCTATAATCTCACAACCTTAAAGTTTTACATTATTGGAAAGTTAGTTTGAAATTTGTTACTATTTTTATCTGACATTTTAAAAAGGTCTTATAAATAAAATGTTATTTTTTTGTATTTCAACCACAATTCTATGATTATTAATATTAATAATTATATGATATATAATCGTTTATTTATATCTTTTATTTATAGGTAAAGAATTGTTTTGTTAGTGTACTATTTTGTCGGTGTTCCTTTTTAAGTGACATATGTTTCCAACAATATTTCAGACAATTGTTCTATTTACTTATTTACTAATTGAAACAAAAAAGCTATTATTAGCTGCTTTATTTTGTAATTTTTTTAGGTGAGAAAACATTTATTATTGCTGAGATTTATATTAATTGTTGTTAAGACAATAGTTTTTTTACACCTAGAGTGTAGACAAATTACACCAAGTAAAAGTTTTAAAAAACATATTTAACTCGATATCAATCAAAATCTTGAAATCAATTTTAAATCTAAACCTCATAACTGGTTTGAAATTGAAATTCGGAATATATTTTTATTTATATTTCATCTACTTATTGTTAGCAAATTACAAAAAACATAAAAACAAAACCGATAAAAAACAAAACAATAATGTTAAGTTTTGTAAAAGGGTAGACATAATTGGATGCTGATAAACGGAGGCTGATAGAGCAGAATCCGTTCAATTTAAATGTCTTTCTAACTTTTTGAAATAACATCAGATGTTGTTTACACAAGCTTAAATTCAATAAAAAAGAAAATGGTCACATGTTTCCTTGTTCTTAAATATTTCAAGTTTTTCTAAATAATAAAGACTCTTACTTCTCATATCAAACTTAATCTTTCTTATATCTCCTATCACACTCAAGCATGACGATGAGAGTATGAGTTTCAGGTTTTCTTAAGTTTGGTACATAAAGTGTAAAACCAATCTTTAATACAATTTACACTAGGTGACCAGAAATAACCTTTGGACAAGACGAGTAAGTAACTTAAACTCTGCTTTTTTTTAGCGTAACAAACAATTTATTTTGCTAATTCTTTTAAAAACATACAGAAAAATAATTTTGTCTTGACTTTAAAACGATTGTGAATTAAGTATTAATAAAACTTTTGAAATAAAATGTAAATCCTATAAAACAATAAATAATCGAAAATACGAAACCATTTTGTATTAGTGTTGCCCTAAGGGTTGTTTTACTAATGTAAAGTAAGGGTTGTTGTACTTATGTAAAGTAAGGGTTGTTTTACTTATGTAAAGTAAGGGTTGTTTTACTTATGTAAAGTAAGGGTTGTTTTACTTATGTAAAGTAAGGGTTGTTTTACTTATGTAAAGTAAGGGTTGTTTTACTTATGTAAAGTAAGGGTTGTTTTGCTTATGTAAAGTAAGGGTTGTTTTACTTATGTAAAGTAAGGGTTGTTTTGCTTATGTAAAGTAAGGGTTGTTTTACTTATGTAAAGTAAGGGTTGTTTTACTTATGTAAAGTAAGGGTTGTTTTACTTATGTAAAGTAAGGGTTGTTTTACTTATGTAAAGTAAGGGTTGTTTTACTTATATAAAGTAAGGGTTGTTTTACTTATGTAAAGTAAGGGTTGTTTTACTTATGTAAAGTAAGGGTTGTTTTACTTATGTAATTTCCTTTTGCTATTGCTTTACTTATGTAACTCCATTTGTTTTAGTGTATACTTATGCAATATGTTTTAATTTGTGTAACTATTATTTATAGTAAGATGTTCAGATAAGTAGTCAAAAAAACATTTATAACAAAAAATTATTATTATTATTAGTTTTATTTAAAAACCAGCCTTTTTTTAAAATGCGTCATGGTAAAAAAATTAATTTTGACTTTTTTACAAAATAAACTAGCTTAGATGTCTACAAACATTATTGAATACATATTTTTAAAGAGTTCTGAAAAAATTCATAAAAATTTTTCTTAATTTTTTTTAATTGCGTTTTTCTTGAAATATACAAGCATATTAAGGCGTAATAAGCATATTAAGGCGTTTTGAAAAACAGTTGCAGCATATATTTACAGTAAAAAAGTAAATGTAGCAAAATAAATTTAATTGTCAAAAGAAAGTTTTATTTAGCTACGGGTTTTGTTTTTTTTGTTTTGTTTTGTTTTTTGCTTCCATAGCAGCACCTTCTTGAGTAGCAGAACTTTCTAATAAAGTTTTTTCTTTGTTAAGTTTTAGACAACATTTTTTTCAGACCATTCGCAGCTTATTTGGACTAATTACCTGAGCAAATTAATAACATAAGTATCTCAATCGTGACACTTACGCAACAAATTTTTTCTCCTAGTGATGTTTCTTTGATGTTTTATAACATCACAGAAATATCACCAGGAGAAAAAACACTTTGACAAACGAAAAGATTTTACAAAAGCTAAAATTTCATAAATTTATGAAATTTTAGCTTTTGTAAAATCTTTTCGTTTGTCAAAGTGTATAATATCGTTACATATGTTTGTATATAATCTCTATAAAACTTCAAAAGTATTTTGTATTTTAAAATAATCGAAAAAAAATTAAAAAAAAAAAGTCGCGAGTGGTAGGAATTGAACCATGGCTTACTTGTTCAAAAGCTCGGCGCGTTATCCACTCGGTCACATTGGCACATTGGTTAGCGAAGTTTTTTAAAACTGTATAAAAAATTTTAACTGAAAAAAATGCTATAGATCAAAATTAAAGAGAGCTTGACGCTATGCAGTTTTCAAGTGAAAATCAAACTTTAAAACTTGATAAATATTTCAGTATGTTTTAACATATGTTTTGACATTACTTAATTTAAAGTTTACGTACGTTAGATATTTGCAAACACGTTCATTCACGTTTTCTTATAAAACAAAGTGCTGCGACTCTTTCTCGCCACCACCTCGGTTGCAATGGCTGCCAAGGGTTCCGTGTCAAACAGGCTCGAAAGCGCACTATTAAGTTCAGTATTAATAATTAGATAATAATAACAACAATAATAATAACAATAATAGTAATAAAAATAGTAGTTTTAATAACATTACTGTTATCACAATATTAAACAACGTTCTATCGCGCTGAAAATTGTACTAACGTAAGCTTATTTACTTTCGAAAACATTTTGTTACGGTAGCAGCTAAAACGGAATACTAAAATTTTACTTCATTGAGAATCATGGTCCTCATAATGAACATTTTACTAAACTTTTTTTTTTCCCCATGAGGATTATTTTTAGTGGCAGCAAAATGATTTTTATATTTTTGTTGCTACTGCAGCTGCGCTTATAAACTCAAACTGCCTCGTAGCTCAGTTTTAAGTTTATAAGCGCTTTTGACAACCAATTGATTGTAAATAAAATTTAAATGTTGATATTTTTAAATTTGAAAACTGATAGTTTTTAGTTGTAAAGCAAAGCACATAAATTTTACAAGTGATGCTTCACAATTACATATTAAGTGTTCTTAATATAAAATTTCATTTTTATATTAAGAACACTTAATATGGAAAGTTGACAGTTTTCAAAAAAAAAGTGTTTTAAAGTTTTGATTAAAAACATTATGTTAAAACTTAAATAACTTTTTTTTTAATTTAAACTTTTAACGCAAAAAAAATTTGAACTTATAAGGTTTATAAAATCAGGTTAAAATTATATATCAATTTCTATTAAATATTACATTTTACAAAAATAGTTTAAACAAAGCTTATTTAATTTGTCTTACTATTCATTTGTATTTAAAAAATTTGAATATATTCTTATAAATGTTTTATTCCATCCAAACCTTATATTTTTGATAGAATAATAAGCATTCCATCAAACGCTTTGGATGAAACATTTATAAGAACATAAATTTTTAGGCTTGATTAAATCATAATTTTTTAATAACTGAAATAATTTAGTATCAAATGAGCTGAGTAAAATGTGAAAATTCTTTTTCTTTTTTTAATCTTTATCGTCAAACAGAACACACAACTGCTGTTTTAAAAAAATGTGTAAAATGTAAAAGAAATATGAAAAGTAATATGAACTATTTTAAAAATAAAGTATAAGTAATGTATAAAATGTTAGAGATAAAGTGTAGGTAATGTATAAAATGTTAGAGATAAAATATACCTAATGTATAAAATATTAAATATAAAATATAAGTTGTGTGTAAAATGTTGAAGCATATGTGAACATATTAAAATAAATGTATGAAATATTAGAGACATATTTTTGAGGATACAAAAACTTATGTTTTTTTTAAAACTTGCTGAAAAATATGTATCAAAACATAATTAATAAAAATTCATTTTAAAGTAAATTAAAGAGTTTTAACGTTTTGTTGAGTTTCCAAAGTAAAGAAAGATGGTGATCGTTAAGTTGTCTAAATTCAATTTTTTATTTTTTTTTTTATAATATTTTATATCATCTTTTTTTTAATAGAAAATAAAAATGGTTATTAACAAAGATTTAGTTTGTCAACTGCAATTCAGAGATTCAGCGAAATACCCCAACAATTCATTTTTAATTGTTAGTCATGAAGTTAATGTTATTTTGACATTAATATCAAACATTGCATTAATTTTTGGACTATACAACACAACCAGAAACAAAAAGTATACTCGAAATGAAAAACTCGTCATGTTACTATCCGTTACTGATATAATAAATACTTTGGTAGTTTCAACATCACAAATTATATTGCTTAAACGTGTTAAGTACTTTGGTTGCTTAGAGATCTCAATAATATTATTTTTTCGAGTTTGGTTTCTAGGTGTGACCTGCTCTATTTTTGTTATGTTATCATGGGAAAGATTTTTTACAGTTTTGTACAACAACAAAATTTGCGGATTTTTTATAAAAGATTCATATTCTATTTGGTACTTTGTATTTGTTGCTTTTGCTTCGTTTTTTGCTGGCGTGTGTTACGGATTCATCTACGCTACTTCTAACTTACATCTACAGTTTATACTATACATAGGAACTGGTAGTTTTACGCTTACTTTGCTGATAATGATTGTTGTTGCAAATGTTTTAATGCTACTTGGAGTTAAAAAAAAACTAAGAAATAGTTCGCTGGAACTTCAAAGAAACGTTGCAGTTGAAAACCACGTCACAAAAACTGTAATAATAACCTCCCTCGCCCATGTGTTATTTTTTTGCCCTTGCATAGCTGTTCAGTATTACATGTCTTTTATTTTTTCAAAAAATGATGCTTCTCTTATTCCTCCAGCTCTTAAAATACTATTGTGGACCCTTGTACTTAGGAAATCAAGCTCATGGATTAACGCAATTATTTATACTTTTAGAAATAGAAAAATATTAAAGTTATACGTTTCTAAAATAAATTTAATATTCAGAAGTACCAGCGTTGGAAGTAGTCAATAACAACGGTAAAACTAACTAAAAGTGAACTAAGCTTCCTAAAATTTTCGCAACAGAGCAAATAGTGGCAGTTTAAAACGTTAATTTGGAAAAAAAACTTGTAAATAACAATTGAAAATTTATAAATTATAAAATACATAAACTAATTAAAGTATTTAAAAAAACATTTGTTAATAAGAACTTAAATTGAAATATTTTTGTGTTTTTGTATATTGATGCAATTTTTGTCAGTGAATAATTTTTTTCAAGTTTATAATCAATTTTAAGGAGTGAGAATTGTGAACACTATTGACCAAACGCATTACAAACCTTAATCAAATCATGTCACAAATTATTTACCAAATTTTTACCAAAATGTCTTAATAAACTTTTTCAAAATCTTTTACCAAACTTTATTAAAATTACCAAACATTTACTAAATCCACAAAAATCTTTATATATATATGCTCTGGTCATATATGCATCATTGGCAAGGAATATTATGGAATATTAGGAAATAATAAAGTATAAGTTATTAATGTTTATAGATTCTTGAAATCTTTTTACTAACGATACAACGAAACATTTTCTATATTCGGACTTACAAACTGTTTTTCTTAAAGAATAAGTTAAAAAATACCAAAATTAAAGTCTCTACAGAACATTGATTACTAGCGACTTCGTTTATTAAAGTTTATTCACATAAAACGCAAATATCATTTTGTAACGATGGAACATTTTAAAACGTTCGATACGATGCATTTTCGTTACTCGGGCTTTTAAGTGTAACTATTTTTAAAAAAAAAACCAAAGAGCACCAAAAACTAATTTTGCTGACAAGAATACTAGATTATATATGGAATAATATTACAGTTCTTTTGATATGTTCTTATAAACAGTTGATATAGGAAAAAAACTTACTTATATAAGATTCAAGATTCAAATCGATTTGCAAATTCAAAGGTTATCACATTCAAGATACTACTCGATGTTTAAATTTCCAGCTCGTTAGAGCCTAGTAAGCACGGAATATCAAGAAAAGTATATTGCTTTTTTATTTTCAATAGATTTAAAAGTATTAGTGATTGAGAGATTCAAGCAAGAGATTCAAAAGTATCAATTGTTGAAATTGACAAGTTAAAATCAGTTATTGGAGCAAGGTAATGAATATTAGATATTTGTTTAAAATAAATATTCCTCTGACATATTTATTTTAAACAAATATCTAATTTTCAGAAAATTAAAATGATTTTTTTTTATTTTATTCCAGCTGCTATAAAGGTTTTGCTATAATTATTTCTACATTACGTACTTCTATATTAAGAAAAAATGGGCTCGCCATCTTGGCTTAATATCACTATGTTGCCTTCAATTATTAAAGATTTAAAATTTGTATTTATTTTGACTATAGTAGACAAAAGGGCTAAAACTTTCAAATATAAAATCAAAACTTACCTCATTTTTTAAAACAACTAACAATTGACAAATTTATTTTTTATTCACATTTTTCATCAAATTCTTTCCCATACAAAAATTGGGATATTTTAATTTTTACTCCTCAAGGAAGGAAAAAAACTTATTTGATTTTTATAACAAAGAAGAATAGCTTCAAAATAAAACATCCTGTTCTATTATATCTACTATTAAGGATTAAGGATTTAAATCAAATTTTAGAAGAGCAATAAAGCACTTCAAAGTGAAAGACGGACATTTATTTTATAAGAAAATAATGTTGATAATTGTAATAGCTTTAACATAAATAAATTTTATTTATGTTAAAGCTATTACAATTATCAACCGAAAATAAAGTTTTAAAATAAATTAAGTTATTTATTAAAGAGTGCCTATGTATTGTCGAATCTTTCCTAATGCTAGAACACTGGTATGTGTTTTATTTCAGCAATGAAACTAAAACACATACCAGTGTATGCCCGCGAGCCGTTGAAATTGACGCAAAGTCTGAGTGTAATAGTCTTTAGTAACTATGTCACTCAGAAGCCCAATTCTGGGTTCTTCTGTTGTTGGAAAAGCTGCGGCTACAATAAACACTGAGTTACTCGATTGGTTGGAATGCAGCTTGATCTGCAGATGATTCGAATATCACCTGCAGTCATATTGCTATCGAAGTTCTCAATTCAAGGCTGACGACAGGACTGATCCAAACGACTTGCTTACCCTCATTTTTAAAACAGACAATAAATAAAATAACACCATTCTTATTGATTCGGATGTTTCCGGGCTCATTATCTACCATACTGCCATAAATAGACTTTTAACGCAGTTGTTTGTTATTACGCACCTACATCGGTCTTAATCTCGAGGTCTCCAAATTGGAAGAATGCACCAGCAGAGTTAAGACCAAAATAGCATTAATTTATTGCATTTTTATTTATATATTATATACATTTTTGTTTTTTAAATAAGTTAAACTCAAATCAACAATTTATTTGTCATTTTTTATATTTGCGCTCTAAACTAAAAATGGATGCAGTTTCGACAGTTTGTTTCAACTTGAGAAAAACGTTTTAAAAACGTATTTATTACTAGAATTAATACGTAAAGTTTTTAATAATATTATGATTATAATAATAATTAATATAATAATAATAAAAAAAATATTATATATTTTAAAATGTAAATCTGAGAACACGTCTTTAAAAGGCGTCATTAAAGCGTATCAAAATACATGTTTTGTTCCTAGTAATAAATACGTTTTTTAAATGTTTTTCTGAAGTTGTCTAAATTGCGCAATTTTTTTTTTTTAAACGCAAATCTAATACCCAGCAGACGAAACTATGCTTAATGAATTCGTATAAATCACGTCTTGTTTAAAAAGACGCCTTTCATACGGATTCAATATGCATACTTTTGTATGCTGGGTATTATTTATATTTATAATTGAGGATGGTTTATTTAAAACAAACAAAATAAATTTTTTGTTATTTTAATATTTTGTTATTTTTTATTTTTGTTCGATCTTTTCATTAATTTTATTTTAGTATGATTACATTTAAATTTTTTATTTGTCATCTAAAATGCTTTCGTGGCGCATCTTACTGAAGTTATGGTGCTTTTCAACAAATTCCTTATTTTTAACTTCAGTGAGATGCGATACGATAGCGTTTCAGATGACAAATAAAAAATGTAAATGTCACACATTTACATTTTTATGAAAAAATCGCGTGTCTAATTTAACTACAATTGTTTTTTAACACTATTCAAACATTTTATTAGTCACGAAACACCTAAAACATCATTTTTTTAAATGTGGCTTGAAAAATCGAGTTTGCAGAAATCTGAACGTAATTAAATCGAATTAGTAAACTTAAATCTAAATTTTTAAAAGTTTCATCTTTGACAACCTATAGCTTAGGTTTTAGTTGAAATGAAATAAGTTAAAATTTATTTTGCTTAATACAACTTCAGTTTGTGTTTTAAAAAAATCTCAAAGTTTTTTTGATGTTGTTATTTTTACAGAAGTTAAGACTTGTACAAAGTCACTTTTTTAACTCTTTGGGGTTTTGCCAAGTCAATTTGCTTCAAATTTTTTTAAATAAAACTAAAACACGTCATTTGGACATGATTATAGATCTAATGAACTAGAACTTTAAAAAGTGTTTTAACCTAAAAATTTCCTAAAAAATGTTTTTTTCAATCAATGTTTTCCGCTTAATAAAAGTAAACGAAAGAAATATATGCTCATAGTTGTAGATTTTTTACATCTATTTCTTTGAGGAATACTCTATGGTTTAACTGTATTTGCAATAATTAAAATAATTTAAGCACCGGGCTCCTCACTTAAAAATAGCATTCAAGAAATAGGGTCTTGAAATTAAGGCCAAAGTTAGGATTCCAGAATATATTGCAATTATATTATTTTAAATTGTTTAACCTATAAAATCTAGATGGGCATATTACATCTTAAATAAATTTTAAAAGATTGCTTGTAGTCTAATTCACAGTTAGATCTTTGGTTTTTCCCTCTAAACAATTTATTCGTTAATCTTGGTATCGTTTTTTTTTTCTTTTTTTTTTTTATCCAGATATTTTACGGCAATATCTTACTTGTTTAAACTAAAACCGTCTGATGGCAATTTCTTGAAAGGCACCTTAACTTTAGTGAGATGCGAAGCAATAACATTTTTGAAGACAAAATTTAAAAGTCACGCCATAATTAAAAAAAGTCGCGTGAATAACTTAGTTATAAACGTCACGCTATACATAATATCTAAAAGTCGCGTCACAAATATAATTCTAAATGTTTTTACCGGTTTTTGCATTTAATCTGGTGACTTTTTGCGGTTTTTTGCATTTAATCTGGCGGTTTTTGCATTTATTGTGGTGGTTTTTTGCATTCAATCTGGCGGTTTTAAAATTTATATCAATTTTATAATGCATGCTATGAATTGCTTAAATTATTAGTTGTAATAAATATTCTACAAAACTCCAGTTGAAAATAATTTTAGATGTGTAAAAATCACTTATCAAACTTTTTTCATTTTACACTGACTTTAATAAATGAGACTCATTAGAAAGTAATATATATATATATATATATATATATATATATATATATATATATATATATATATATATATATATATATATATATATATATATATATATATATATATATATAATGTATATATATAACATACAAGTTCAAAAAAACAAGTTTTAAAAAATTACTACTTTATTATCTATTAATGTGATCTCCATTAACACATTGTGTGAGAAAAGATTCGCAGTGTCTCACGAAGTTTGAAAGATCATGTTCAGTAACGTGCTCACAACCGTTCCTCATTTGTTCTAACGAATCATTATTTCCGATCGGAGCTATTTGTCCTCTTGTAGTATTCTTGATTTTCGAGAATGTCACAAGGATTTAGAAAAGGTGAGTATCGGGGTAAAAAACGAATTTCATAGAGATAACTATCATAAAAACCTGATAATGAATGATGAAACTTAATGTTGTTTATCACCAAGGTAAACTCTTCTTCTTCTACCAAAATACTTTTAAGCGTCCTTTAAAGATTTCTGCTGTCACCCCTACGCCAATTATTGCTTTACAGTGGGTTATGTTTAAATAATTTAATGCTAATATCATAGTTATGTTACGGCCTC